GGCCTGGGGGAGCCCCCCTAGATTTTCCACTGGAATTAGGGCACCTCAAGTGGCATCATTGCCTGGTTCAAACACATAGGCACAACGAAGAAATTTTTTGACCTATTGTTGCGAGGACAAGGTGAAAGGATCCGATTGCGTTTCAAAAAACTAGAGGAAGATACAGACTCTAACGAAGAGAATCAGATTGGCAAACACGAGATGGTTGGGCAACAAATTAATATGACTTAGTTGTTGCAAACTCTCATATCGGAGGTGGGTATCCTATTCCAAGCGCAAGTTGACAGGTTGGATAAAAAATTAGAGCAACCACCGGAGCCTCGGGAAAACAGAGACCAGGGTCACGCCATCTAAGATACGAACACCCTAATCACCAGAATCTAGAATCTGGAGCAGCAACTCGTTGGGGTCGAACCGAAGCGAGGTAACCCCAGGAGGCCGTCGGACGCTGAGCAGAACACCATCTCCAAATTGCGAGGCATCAAGCTCACAATTCCGGATTTTCAGGGGAAGAACAACGCCGCCTCTTATCTGGACTAGGAGAGCAAAATGACATTGTTCTTCTAATGTGGGGAGTATACAGCTCCAACTAGAGGTAACTACCTGGACTGAATTACGGGGTCTTATGCGCGAACGGTTTGTACCTAGTAATTACCAGCTAGAATTGCACGAGGCATTGCAAGGATTGAATCAAGGCTAGCGTTCTATCGAAGATTATTTTCGTGAGCTCCAGCTGCTCATGATGCGGACCGACATCAGGGAGGATTGCAAGGCAACAATTGCTCGTTTTCTCCACGGATTAAACCGGAAAATTTCCCAGGAAGTCGATCTGAGAACATTCGTGAACTTGGAGGAAGTCGTCCATATGGCAATCAAGGTAGGGGATCAGCTTTAATTCGCCACGGAGAGACGATTTCCACCTACCAACAAGCCGACTTTAGACGTGGGAAGCCATGAGCTGAGACTGAGTAGCCAGTGTTCACTCTTAATCAACAGTTGAGACCTGAGGGATCCAACAAAAAGGCGCTCTTGCTTCATGATGGCGAGTACTATTTGGAGGAAGAAGAAGAAGAGAAGCCTCGTGGAATTTCAATTGAATCCGAAGGAAACAAAACAGACGAGGAGATTCTGGTCACCGATCCTCCACCATGAAAACTCTTCGCAGTAAGCAGGAGAGCTCCCACAATATCCTCCCACTCTGACACGAATCATAGGGAAAACTTGTTCAAACTCGCAGTGTCGTTAATGGACAAATATTGTCCGTAATTAACGACAGGGGAAGCTGCGCGAATGTCGTTAGTCTGGATGTGGTTAAGCGGCTTGGATTGGCCACCAAAAAACATCCAGATCCCTACAATTTCCACTGGCTTAACGATTAAGGAGCCATTAAGGTTAACAAGCAAGCGCGTGTTCCATTTGCAATCGGCGAGTACATTGGCGAATTGGTGTTCGATCTAGATCCTATGTAGGCCACTCATCTACTACTAGGCCAACTGTGGCAATTTGATCGCGGTGTGTGTCACTACGAGGGCACCAACTGTTATAAGTTACGACAGGGCAATTGGAGTTTCATGCTCAAGCCTCTGTTGCCGGGGGAAGCTCACACTTATCATAGCCAGGTGGAAGCCAACCGAGTGCAGGGAAGAGACGAGTCCAGCTGCACTAGTTTGATGGCACAAAGGTTTATGTTAATGGCGTATAAAAAGGAACGGATTCCACGCCTTCGACGAACTAAACTGCTCTATAACACTTCGCCGGAGCAGATCAGGAGAGAGAATGATTTGGATGGAGAAGTGGGAAGCCATTCGTAACCCAACCAGTGACGCCGAACCTTTCGACGGAGAGCAGGGTAGCTTTCCCCTGAACTGGACTCCGTCGAATGCATCTGAAACGAAGGATCCATCACAGCCTAAAATTGCTCTGCAAATGCTCTTCCCCGCGTTTGATGTTCAAGTTGCACGTCGAACCACCTCACCTACCCATGTTTTCCAGCTTTCCAGTTTTTTCATTTTGAGTTTGATTATCGTGGCCTAGGAAATTAGGGTACATCATTAATTCCCACACATTTGAGTTGAAGAGAATTGATCAAACAAGATTAGCAAGTATAAAACCTTTCTAGCAGTATATTCAATACATGGTTGATGGGATAATGATTACTTCTAGGAAAAATCAAAATAGAGTTGATGTCATCAATCAAATTGTTGAATGAGAATTTTTTTTGCATGCAAGTTATATTTCATAAGTTTACATTAATCATTCTTTAGTCATGAGTTGCTTGTTAATTATCTTAAGTTTAGATGGCTATTGATAATTTCTTTTACTTTGAATGTGAATTTTAAAAAAAGTGGTCTACCTCATACTCCTTTAACCTTTATAAGTAATTTTTTTTATTTGGTAGAAACAAGAGCGTAGAGGGGATTTATTAGTATTTCTAGATGTAGAAGATAAATTCTATAGTCCTTCGGAAATAGATTTAATTATATTTGCTGAAATTTCATATCTAAGTAGATCTTAAATTTTATGAAGCACTTACAAATTTTATGCTTCATGGTCTAAATGCCATTCGAATACATAAAGCTCCATATGTAATAAATAGTGTATGTTCTAAATGTTTTCCTAGGGAGATCCACGAGCAAACAACTGCCGATAACAATGATTTTGCAAGGTATCAGCATCAAGAAAAACAACTAATCAATCATGGTGATAGTGATAGGATGATAGTGAAAGAAAGCAATTTTGGGAAAATATTCATAAATTGGACGAGGTAAAATCTGCTTTAGCGAAAACGGTGTTCTATATTTGCGAATATCGTACAATTAATTTTTTTAGTTCGATCAAACGCAGGAGAAGAAAGAAGAGATCATTGGAATATAATAGAATAAGGAAGAAACAATTGATAATTGATATTGAGGTGACACTAATGTAGATGAAGGCGTTGTTATTGATGAAGATGACGAGTGGTAGAGGAAACCAAACAAATCCAAGAAAATATTCATTAATTTCTATAAAAGAGGATAAATATAAGCTAAGTGTCATTTGAACAAGTTCTTAGGAGTGGTTCCTTGGTTCGAGGTCTATCGTTTATGCTAAGGATTTTAGCTAATGAACCGGTTAGGGTGTTAGAAAATACTACGATGTTAATCCTTTTGAATATTACCAATTACTAAATAATTTGGATTCTCTTATGCTACCAAATAAAATTGTATTTTGCTTGACTTTTGCTACTCGATATTTGGAGATATGCAAAATGACTTCTAGATATATCAGTTTGCGGGTAGGAAAAAGAAACTCATACATGAAGCTAGCCTGATCGCCAACGAAGCTATTGACAGTCGTAAACGTAGTGGTAAACCAGGTATTATTTTGAAGCTTGATATTGAGAAGACCTTTAATTCGGTAAGCTGGGATTGCCTGAGACGGATTCTTAAGAATATGGGAATGAATGTGAAGTTGGTTAAGTGGATTATGGGGCTTAGTGACTTGCTCGAAGCTTTCTGTTCTTGTTAATGGGGAGTCGACTGGTTTTTTCAGAATGGAGCGAGGTCTTAAGCAGGGGGAGGTTTGCCCACGAGAGAGATGAATGGTGGAGGGATCTGATTAATCTTAAGTTTCCGCATTCTGCTTCGGAGTGGACCTCGGAGGAGCTGAAGGGTCCTATGGGGTGCAACCCATAGTCTCAAATCTTGAAGACGTCTAAGGAGTTCTGGAATTTCGCGTGGGTGGAGCCTGGGGGAGGAGCGTGGACCTCCTTCTGGTACGACGTTTGGAACAAAAGAAGACCCCCGCTGGCCGTGAGTTTTCCAAGAGTGGTCGCTGCTGCCGAGTCGCAATGTTGTCAAGTCGCTGAAGTTTTGCGCCATTAGGATGGGCATCTCTCTTGGGATCTAACCCTTCGTCATAGTCTTCGGGGTGGGGCTAAGGGTGAGAGAATTGAGCTTTTAAATTACTTGCATAGTGTTCCTATGAGTTTGTTTTCTGCAGGGCCTTCGAGAATAGTTTGGGAGTCGTCCCCAAGTACCGGATTTCAAGTGAAATCTATGTATGAGAAGCTGATCGAGGAGCAAGTTAATTTGGACTCCGAGTTCCCTGTGGATGTTGTCTGGCTGCAGTTTGCTCCCTTCAAAGTCTGTGTGTTCGTCTGGCTGGTCTACCACAACAAGATTTTGACACAAGATAACCTCAAGAAATGTGGGTGGATGTTGCCAAATCGGTGTGTCCTGTGCCGTGAGGAAGAGGAGACTATAGATCACTTGTTTCTGTTCTGCAGGTACTCACAGAGGGTGTGGCAAATCATGAGAAGCTTTTTGAAGCTCCCTGCGAGTCTGCCCTCGAGTATAGCTTATGTCTTACGAGTTTGGTGCAGGAAAAAGCCAGATTGCCCCCGGGATTGGTGTACGAGAGTCTTCTTTCATGCTCTATGCTGGCGTATTTGGCTAGAGCGGAACAGCAGGGTCTTTAGAGATAAAGAGGAGACGGTCAACTTTGTTTGCGTTAAAATTGGTCGTGGCATGGTGGACTGGCTCTACGCTCACAAGAAGGTTGACAGGTCGGCTGCAGAGAATTGGCTGAGAGGTTTGAAGAGTCGAGTTCTTCCTATAGCAGAAGGTGTTCTGCAGGAGTAAGGCCTGGTGCGTAGGGTAGAGTTTTCGGTCTTTTGGAGCCTTCTCTGGTTTTTTTTTTCCTTTTGGCAGTGTCCTGCCCAGTGCGATGTTTGAGCCAAGCTGTACTGGGGTTTCTGTTTGCTCGTTTTGGGGTGGGGAGTTTGTTCCCTTTCCCTTTCTGGTGGTGCTTCGATCCCTGTGCTTTTTCCTTGTGTCCCTGTGGTATGTGGTTTCTTGTAGTTAGTAGGCTTTGGTAGGGCTGTGTTGCCGGGCTGGGTGTTGGCAACCCGCTTGTTTGGTTTTGCCTGCGGGTTGCTGGTCTTTCAGCCTTTGTTTTCTCTGGTTTTGTACCGACCTTTCCTTTCCTTTTAATAATTGATTTCACCTTTATCCAAAAAAAACATATTTTACGGTTTATACCATTTATAAAATGCATCCGGCCAGCTGGTCGGGTTCAAATGTATACATTAAGAATGTGACTAAAGGACTATCCGATGATTTACATAAAGAAAAAGGATTAATCATCCGATGAAAGTTGTAGCTTAATACATCACTAACAAAAAAAAAAAAAAAACAGTGTATGAAAGTTTAAGCTATCTGCCATTGTAAATAGAGCTAGTCGATGCACCGCTGATAGATGAAGAGCTATACATGTCGCTGCCAAGATCAGGCGCAGTAGACATCACCACCTCCAACAATCTTGAGTTCACCCGGCGAGCACTTCCAAGAGCGTCGTCATCGGTGTACCCACGCCGGTCGACAGTTGGGAGCTGGTCTTCGCAATTCAGATACCTCACCACTTGTCTCATCGTGGGTCTAGACTCCTGCCTTGGGTGCGAGCAAATGAGCCCCAACCCTAGAACCATCTCCATCTCCATCTCCTCTGCCGCCACATACCGCCGCTCCAGTCGTGCATCAGCCGCGTCCAGAACACTCCCCATTTGCAGGCACTCCGTCACCCAGTCCACTAGTATAAAGCTATCGTCGTCGCCGCCGCCGCCGCCAATCGGCCTCCGCCCACTCGCCGTTTCCAGCAGTAGAACCCCAAACGCGAACACGTCGGACCGGGTCGACGCCTTCCCTGTTCGGGCCAATTCGGGTGCGATGTACCCGACCGTCCCGACGACATTGGTCGTGTGCGACGCCGTTCCATGGTTGTACAGCCTGGCGAGCCCGAAGTCCCCAAGGCGGCCGTTCATCTCGCCGTCGATCAACACATTGCTGGACTTGACGTCCCTGTGGATCACAACCTGCTCCCATTCCTCGTGCAGGTAAAGCAACCCCGCGGCAATCCCTTTCAAAATCCTAAACCTCTGCTCCCAGCTCAAACCTCGCTGCCCGCCGCCGTAGAGGAAGAAATCCAGGCTCCCGTTCGGAATGTAATCGTAGACGAGAAGGAGATCGCTCCTTTGCTTACACCAACCTTGAAGATTCACCAAGTTCTTGTGCCGCAATCTCCCCAAACTCTCGATCTCCGCCGCGAATTCCCTAATCCCTTGGATCGAATTGGGGGTTATCTTCTTCACGGCGAGTAGAGATCCGGAATTGGGGATAATCGCTCGGTAGACTGCGCCGAATCCGCCTATCCCGATCATCTCGCTGTCGCTGAATCCTCTTGTTCCGGAATACAGATCTCGGTAGCGAAATCTGTGAGGGCACTCCAATTCCCAATCCTCGAGAGCTTCGAATCGCATCGTTACTCTTTTGTACAGAGTAGCGAAAATCAGCACCGCCAACAGAATCACGGTGACGGCGCACAGAGCAGATATGAGAGCGATTACCGAGGGTGCGAAACGCGACGGGGATTCCTCCGCCGGCGGCGGCGAGGGGAGCAGGGAGATGTTGAGCGGCGGGGCTAGGTCTCCATTCGCCGAGAAGCTCCACCCGAGGATGTAGTGTGCGCTCGCTTTCTCCCCGGTGGACGCCGAGAAGCCGGCGTACATGAGTTCCCTGACGACGGGGGTTAGATCCAGGGATTCGGAAAGCAGGGGAGTGGTTGGCTTGCGATTGCCGGCGGGGGAGACGGTGACATCAACGCGCTTGAGAACGGCGTCGTATTCCACCCAGGCTTGAATTGGATCCCCGCTCTGGAGGATAACCTCTTGTCGCTGATTCCTGTCGTCGACGAAATAGGCGGAGGAGGCCTTTCTGGAGTTCATGCTGTTGACGTTGATGCCGACGTGGTTGCCGTCGGTGTCTCTGGTGTCGTTGACCCCGTTGACGGTGTCGAATTCGATAGCGAAGACGTGGTTGGACGGGTCGCCGTCGTTGGTTGTTGAGTTGAAGAGGCCGAGGTAGTGGTCGGCGGCGGCGCCGGGGAATTCAGGGGAAGGGGCGAGGACGAAGGCGAGGCCGAACCCGCCTTTGCCGGCAGCCGGGGAGACGATTGAGAAGACGAAAGTGGTGGCGAAGGAAGAGGAAGAAGGGAAAGGAGAGGTCCGGTTGAGCATGCGAATCGGTCGGGTGTGGAAGGCGTGGCCTATGGCGTTTTTGGTTCGTGTGGAGGTAAGCCGCAGCGCGCCACTGGGTTTCAGAATTGAGACTCGGTCGCGGAGGATTTGCCCATCAGCTCCGCTGAATCCGTTGAAGGTGAACTGATCGACGGCGTGAGCTGTAGGCACGACGGCGATGGTGATGAAGAAGAGAACGCAGCAGAGCAAGCTGTTTTTGGTTGCCGCCATATATATAATTGGATGTCCGGCGTAGCTCCTCGATCTCTAAGTTTGATACTTTGTAGCCCAAGGCGGGGATACACACTGTGGGTGTATAAGAACACCAAAACAAGTAAGGATTTACGTAGCAACTTCTTTGCCTTGAACGTACGGTATAAGAAGTTGGGGAATGGGTCACGACTTGAGAACCGGGAATCGTCAAAAGTCCATCTCCGGTGGTCCCTTAATGCATTTTCATTCAATTGGTTGAATCGACGTTCAGGTTCTGTTCTATGTGGGTGAGGGTGAGAGACGTGATTATAAGGGTGTTTGTCTCGTCTGTATGTAAAATATCTTCGAGGCCAAAGGAAGTGACAGATCAAAAGAGGCAAACCATGGGGGCGAAAGCCAAGAAAAGGGAGGGTTACATGGGGGGATGGGATGAAGAAGAGGCTATTGTGGCGGGAAACAATCAGCCGATCAAAAGAGACTTCCTGAATATCGTCCCGAAGTATGGCCACTACCCTTGACATGCAAGCTCATGTATACAGTAGGAATAGACAAGACTGCATGTGCTTTAAGAGCCAGTCCGCGACTCCGTTCCATTCCCGGTAAACATGAACGATGCGCATCAGCCAGAGCCAGTCACGACTAACTCTCCTACGAATAGCAGCTAAAAAAGTGGCGTAAGGATGAACTGGATCATGTCTGTCACTAAGTAACTGGATGGCAAGCTGTGAATCCGGCTCGATCACAATCTGGCGGTGTACGGACTTCCACGCGATATCCAAACCGCGTGATAGAAAGCTCATAACTGTGCCAGAGCTGTAGAGGCTTCTCCAATTTTCGCCACATAGCCGACAATAAATGACTTTACAAACTGGCACTATTCACTACTCAACTATAACTAGGGATGGCAATCAAACCCATGGCCGCGGGTATCCGACCGCCCCCGACCCAGTCAACGCGGGGAATTCCCGCATTGACCGGGTAGGGGGGGTATGGGTAAAACCCGCAAAAATTTGATGGGTATGGGGCGGGTATGGGGCGGGTATGGGTTTAGCCTCCCCCGACCCATACCCATACTCATACCCGCCCCACAAAAAACATTTCTTCACATATAAAATGTACATTAATTAAATTGTAATCTATCATTAATAGCAAGGGTAACTCATGAAAATAAATAGTAGAAATACAATTGAGTGACCACCCAAATCAAAACATAATTCATTTCCTCCAAATCTTCCTTCATTCTTTGACTTTTTCCCTCATGTTTACAACATTATGTTTGTAATTTATTTATTACTTAATAGATGTACCAAAGTCTCTTTGTCGACTTTATGAAATAGTAGGTGCGTTTAGTATTATAATTGAAATTTTTGTATGTAAAATTTTAGCTATTTTAATGTAGGATGTACGGAGCGGGTATTACCCATGGGTACCCGAAACCCACAGATATGGGGATGGGTTTGCCTTCCCCGCATAGGTATGGAGCGGGTATGGGTTTGGATATTTGAAAGCGGGAATGGGGATGATTTAGGCAAACCCGCCCCAAACCCGCCCCATTGCCATCCCTAACTATAACAAGTAAAATCGTTTGATCTAGGATTTGTGTAACTTTGATGGGAAAAACCCCATTGCTATGCTGATGCTCTAAGGAAGTTAATTCAGATCATAACTCGTTGGGTTAGGTTAAAATTATTTACTTTTTTAAAAGGGTTAAGAACTTATTTTGGCTCCAACTATGACCATATAATTAACTTTGGCACGTGGTTTGAGATATTAACATCCTGGCCCGAACTTTGCAGCATAAATACTCATTTGGCCCGGATTGTGGTTTGACCGTTTGTTTGGACGGTCAACACCGTTGACCGTTAGTCAACTGTCCAGGTCATCACCATGTCAGCAACCAAAAAAATAAAAAAAAATTCGGAATTTAAATTTCTTTCTTATTTCCTTTACCTAATTAAAAAAAAAAAACAAAATCTTTCAACCACCCATCGCTCGTCGTTCTTCTTTCTCTTCCGCGACGGCGGCGGCAGCAGTCGGCGGATTCAAAAAACAGTAGAAAAGGAACAATCTTTGCTTCCAAATGTTGGAAAAGAGAGGGAGAGATGACCATGTTTGAATGAATGGTGTTACAAATTTAATATTTCAAGTGAACCCACGAGAGAAGTCTCTCCTGATGTGCCCTGATGCGGAACGGGATTTCACGCACCGGTGATCTCGAGCGATTTAGCGAAAGAACTAGAAAATACGATAAAAGAGCTACTTTTCTCTACTAACTACTAATACTTTATTGATCAACTTCTTAAAAGGAAGAGCAAAGGTACATATTTATAGGACTAATCCTACAACTCCTATACCCAAATTAATACGAATAACCTGAATAATAACAGAATATCCCAACAAATAATAGTAATAAAACATCAACAATAATAATAATATTAATGGGCTCGGCCCAAGACGCCGTCACCCATCAATCCTCCCCCCTTTTTACAACTTCGTCCCCGAAGTTCAGGCGCCATCTCAACCCGGATCAATGAAAAAGAATCGCTCCCACGTGTTGATGACTATGAAGAGAGCATTTCTTTGTCGACGCCAAACTCGCTTACGAAATTTCCAATTAGGCTTGGGCACTCGAACCAAACTCCTCTCCTTGAAAACGTCGAGTACCATCAAGTTATTTCTTGCACACCACTCGAGCTCCCTTTCTTCCAATTCCATCTCATCATGCAGGAAATGGCTTGTCCATCAACCTCCATTGTCCAAAAGCAATTCCCCATGCAACTCACGTACATATGTACCAGGACAGGTTCTTTTCATGTCAATGTTGTCTTTGTCTCATCCTCGCAAACCATATGCAAAACCAAACCTCCACTCCATATCTTGCACTTCAACGTGGCCTTCAATTCCTGGCATGGAGAGAGTTCCATCATTAGCCTTGTTAAAACCAAAGGATGTACTTGCCTCCGTCGTAGGGTCCCAAGACGTCAAGGTTTTCGCACATGAATGTGCGCCGACCTCCTTTATGGTTCCACCCGCAAGTCCCATGGCACTATCAACCGTAGCCACCATCAAACCCACTCCGTACAAGAGAGCCCCAGTTAGGCCTCCAATGGAGGCTCCGATGCAGCCTTGAATCAAGTTGTTCGCCACCGAGTTTGATCCTCGTCCAGCCACATCACGCTCACGGACTGTCGTGGAGCAAATCCATGTCGAGGCGGTTGCTGACGTGGTGGCGGAGAGGACAACATCAATGGAGGGGGAGACTTCCTTCAGCGATGGCTCCACGGGATTTGGCGTTTGAAGACTCGAATGACCCCCTCGGTTGCAGCATCTGGTCCGTCGCGGCGTGACGTCATTATCGCGCAAACTCCCGCCGACAGCTATAACCTCGTTGTCGGGATTAATGGCTCCTTGCAATGTGACCCATGTACCTTTGTATTTAAAGCGCATGGTCCTCAACTGCCAATTAATCGTCAGAGGCGCCAACTTTTAAAGCCAATGAACGCCAAAGACAACTTCGAGGCCATGAATCGGAAGCTCAAACAATTCAACAACCAACCTTGTGCCCTGAACTTCAATAGGAACAGCTTCAAAACAACGGTTACAAACAATAACAATCGCCATTGTCGACCTTAACCTCGAACGGCGGAATCGACGTAGCTTGCAAAGACAACTTCTCTGCAACTTCGCGGCTTATGAAATTGTGTGTCGAACCATGGTCAACTTGCACGATGGCTGGTTCTTGGTGAACTGTTGTGTTGAAGCGGATGATCATGGGTTTAGAAACGCCGTTAAGAGCGCACAAGGATGGCCGGACTACAAGGCTTATCCGGTGGCTCGTCAAGCTCGATCGGTGGTTCTCCATCGACACGCTGCGAAGCTTTATCCCTCGACAACCTTCTGCGTTCGTCTAGTTTCTCCCAGATGATGCAAGAACTCTCATCGATTGGCGGGAAGCATGGCCTATATGCGAGCATCGTCGAGCTCGGTTCCTCGGAATCCGCTTCGGTGCGTGTCCCTGGGAGATGGTAAGGGCTCTGTTCTTTCGAACCAGGCTCTGATACCAATTGATGCGGAACGGGATTTCACGCACCGGTGATCTCGAACGATTTAGTGAAAGAACTAGAAAATACGATAAAAGAGCTACTTTTCTCTAGTAACTACTAATACTTTATTGATCGACTTCTTAAAAGGAAGAGCAAAGGTACATATTTATAGGACCAATCCCACAAACCCCTTTCCTCTTAAGACAAGGAAACCCAAACCTAAAGCAACAAGTAAACGAATACTTCCTAACAAGATACATAATAATAATCCTAGACCCAAACTAATACGAATAACCTGAATAATAACAGAATATCCCAACAAATAATAGTAATAAAACAACAACAATAATAATATTAATAGGCTCGGCCCAAGACGCCGTCACCCATCATGCCCCCAAATTAGCTTAAGCGCGCTACAGAAAGAGTAAATTTTGGGAGGCGTGTGAGACGGCGCAACAAGGTGGGCAGGAAGGCGGGAGATCGAAAGTGGAGGCGGGGCGGCTAACGACCATGGCGTCGGAGCAGGGGAGGGAAGGGTAGTTGAGGCGACGGCACAGGGGAAGATGGAGGGAGAGTGGAAGTTTGACGGAGAACTGGCTCGTTTATAAATGAATCAACATCGAGTAGCAGAGAGGAAGCAAAGATTGTGTCTCTCTTTCTGTCTCTTGTTCCCAATTTCCGCTACAGCACCGGCGGCGGTGTCAGCGATGATTTTCGCGAGGAAATCAGTTGGTCGCTGTCCCAATTGATTCCGCCGGCTGCCGCCGCCGTCGCGGAAGAGAAAGAAGAACGACGAGTTGCCAACATAGAAAGGCAAAAGGAATGGGCGAAATCCCTAATTTCTAGATCCAAGAGGCTGATCCCGAGCTACCTACCGCTGCTACCGGAGACGAAATCGAAGTCGAAATCATCGTCGCCGTCGATTCTGAACACCAGCTGCGTGTTGGTGGCGGCAGAGGAGTGCGCTTTTGCGGTGGGGGCGGAGAGGAGGCGATGGGTGATTGAAAGATTTTTTTTTAATTAGGTAAAGGAAATAAGAAAGAAAATTCAATTCCGAATTTTTTTATTTCTTTGGTTACTGACATGGCGATGACCTGGACAGTTGACTAACGGTCAACGGTGTTGACCTTCCAAACAAACGGTCAAACCACGATCCGGGCCAAATGAGTATTTATGCCGCAAAGTTCGGGCCAGGATGTTCATTTATCATACCACATGCCAAAGTTGATTATATGGTCATAGTTAGGGCCAAAATAAGGTATTAAGTCTTTTTAAAAAATGGTTACAAATATTTAATTTTGTATGTAATATATGTTTGGACTAATAACGAAAAGATAATTCAGTCTATTTCCATTCAATTACTTTCGTCCAGTCAGCACGCCACGTCATTTAAGATGTATTAATTTAAAATTTGACTAAACCCAATTGAATTGATAACCTAACCGAAAACCCTAAATTTTCTTCTGGACCACCATTGATTAATTGATTTAATCGACCTGTGTCGTTCATAGTAAAAGAGGCATTGACTTGGGCGAAGGCTGAATTTGGGCGTAGGGAGAACAATTGATCCATATAGCTAGTAGTTGACGGGAGCGGATCAGGTCAGTAACTCTTATGGTGAGTAACCATCGGTAACTTATCCACATCCGCATGACATCAGCATCCACTCTCTCCTGAAAAGTCTTTTATCTCGGACGATTTCTCTCTCGATTGAAGTCGAAAATTAAATTTTTTGCACAGATAAATCAGATTAAATGTGCTCTTTAAAATTTTAACCACTTTTATATATTTTTAGTACAAAAAAAATGAATAATTTTTTACCAGTCATTACCATATGGTATGCTCATATTTAATACCATATGGTAAGAAAGCGTATCATGATGGTATGAACTTACCAATATGGTAAGAAGGTTGAATACATGATAGTAGCAGTATACTAACTGTCATTTACGACTTTCATCATTGTTTACCACAAGTTACCACCCATATACCATAGTGGTAAAGTATGGTAATTTTTGGTCCAGTATTTTTTTCACCCGGAAATTTGTAGATCCAATAGATCATGATGAACTCGTTCCTTCTGAGCAAATGTTTTCAAAACCGACTTAAAAACGAAGAAGTTACCATATGGTATGTAGTTGGTAAAAAAAAGTTTCTCGAAATATATTAATAATTGATCTCATTTTGTAGAGCACAACGAACCCGTTTCATCACTTCCATGTGTGTAAAAAAAATTGAAATCCAAGTTAAAATGAAGAAGATAAGAGCCGATTATGAAAACTAGGGAAAATAAAATGTCTTTAATTGACAACCCTTAGATCTGAATTTTCTAGGCTCAATTAAATCTAAAGGTCCAGATTTAGTTATTTATAGGTCAGTAACTAATGGTTACTAACCCTATCTTAAGCCCTTGTTGACCCATCCATAATCACACATTTATTAATTATTAGGCCATGCAATCCTTAGAAGATGTATGTTGCCAAAAAAGCCACGTAAATTTGGGCTCAACTCAAGTTAGGGGTATAACTCTTGATTATGCATCTTTATATATTTAAATATATATGGACCTTCTTTTTTAAGTGGGTCTAGAAAATCCAGATTTAAGTGTGTAGAATTAAAATCAATCATTTTATTTTCACTAGTTTTTTTAATTGTCTCTTATCTGTTTCGTTCCAGACCAGACCATATACACGGTTTGTGGTCCAAACCAAGAGGGTAGAACAAAGACCATGGATCAGACCCTAACCTATACGGTCCAGACCAAACCACGCATGTGCGGTGCATTCGGTATGGTCTGGACCGCGTAGATCATATTCAACAAAACCTGTATTATCCAATGTTAAATATTAGCTAGTGACTAAAATAAAAAACACATTGACATCCAATTCGACAAAGTTCAAAAATCAACATAGCACCAACAATTTCAAGTCTACAATCCAACATAACATGAGATTAATAATCAACAACATCCATAGTTCAATACTAATTAGTTTAACAAACTATAAAATGCAAATACAAACTATAAAATGAAGTTAGTAATTATTAGCAACCAACACTAAAGTAGAATCTGGGTCATTAGTTGCAAGAGAATTAAGTTTATAAATTATTACATTGAAGAACCAACACAGGGGAATGGAAGGCAGTCGGCCATTATTACCATCATTATCATTCTCGGTTGCAGCGGCCAGTCGGCAATGGAGGAGTCAATGGAACGCAGGCGGAGGTCGAGGTTGATGGCAGAGGTCGACGGCGGATGGTGACGGCAACGGCGAGTAGCAGCTGGTCGAGGTTTCCTTCTTGGCTGTCGCCTCTCGCGAACTCTCTCGACGGTGATGGGAAAGCGGCATCTGAAATTACTTGGACCAGCCGAAATGATGGGAGGTTGATGGCGGAGTTCGATGGAGATTGTGGATTTTGATGGGGGAATCGTGCGACGCGCTGCTGGGAATAGCTAGGTTTTTCGGTGGCTACTTGGAATGGAAACGTTGGCTGATTGAGTAGAGTTGGGACTTGGGGAGAATGAAATTGGGCTTGGACCATTGGAATTTGGAGGGTTAGAGCAGCCAGACATACTTAATTTTGATCACGGTCTAGATCAGACCAAACTATTCCAGATCGCAAGTGAAAGAGGCAAAACATGGACCAGATCAAATTCTATTAATGGTCTAGCGGTCCGGACAAACCGTATGATACGGTCTAAACTGCGGTTTGTCATACGATTTGGTCTAGATTCCTAGCCCTACTTCGTTCTAACTAGGGATGACAAAAATATTCGTAATTGTGGATATCCGCTCGAATCCGACCTGATCGGGTACGGTAAAACCCGAACTCGAAAGACTTTTAGTGGGTATGGGTAAAACCCGAACCCGAATATTGCAGGTAATGGGTGGGCATAGTTTTCTCAATATCCAACTCGAACATGCCTGATTATACACATGCATATGTATTTTGTCTAGAAATAATCATTATTTTTGTCTAACGTATTTTATATTTAGCATATAAATATAATATTTTCATGTAATTGTGTTTTTTAATTGATTTTCTTCATTATAGTAAATTATTGTTGTACTTTTACTCTTATGTAACTAACTTGAACCCGGCCGGTTGGCCGGAATATACCGGCTAGTTTTTATTGAATTTATATCAATTTAAAATCTTATTGCAAAATTTAGATTTGAAATTTCAAGTATTTCACTTGCAGGTATCAAAATTCAATATAGTGTGAATTTCAAATGTCTCAATCATGTTTAGAAGTTTTCACATGATAATCAACCGAAAATGATACAAAATCTTGTGTCCTACCATCTGTTATATGAACTATATCACTATGACGATCATATCAGGAGTTGTATGATTCATACCAGAGATGGTAATCACAAGTTTTGTAGCACTTTGAATTTTGCACCTTACCCAAACCCAAATGAACTCATTAATAA